ATGTCTTTGCCGGAGGCGGAATTGCCCCGCCCTTGTCGGTCCGGGCTAAGCAAGCTGCTCGGGTTTGCTCTCAGGAGCTTTGGTCCCTGCAAGCTCTCGGTACAGCTTTGGAGGACCAGGGTGAAAATGGCGGCCTCCCAATCTCCACCTGGAGGAGCTGAGAACTTGGGGCCCCGCTCCTCAGTGCGCCCCCAGAGAAAAGCAGTCCCTCCCGTCTCCCTGGTCTCCAGCCGCACTGCGTGCTCACCCGGCCTGTGACCGAGCATTTCTATCTCTGGCGCCTGACCCCGTGTGGAGTCTCCAAACCAAGCAGATCCCTGGGGTGCGCTCCCGCGCCGCTCCTCCCGGAGGAGGAAGGGGAGTCTCCCCAGATCTGCCACTTGTTGGGTCCCTGCTGGAGGAGCAGTGGCCCGACTGGGCTGCAGAACTTGGTTTATGGCAACCCTGAGCTGAGAGCCCGCTTCTTGGCTCTGTCTCTGCAGCTGGCTTCCCTGCTCCGATACCTGGGAGCTCTGCTGCACTCAGGCACCCCCGGTCTTTCTGTGACCCTGAGGGTCCTGAGACCACACTGTCCCGCGAGGGTTCTCCCCCCCGCTTAGCCACTGGAGCGACATCCCTCAGCGGAGCCGACTTCTCAAAGTTCCGATTTTGTGCTCCGCGGCTCTACCACTTGCCAGAAGCAGCCGACGGATGCCCCTTCCCCCGCCGTCTGTCCTCCCAAATATCGCCTTGGATTCACTTCTCCGTGCGTCCTACCCTCCAGAAAGTGGTCACTTTTCTGTTCAGAGTTGCTGCTATTCTTTTCTTCGATCTCCTGTTGAGTTCATAGATGTTCAGAATGGTTTGATCCCTATACAGCTGAATTCCTGGGACCAGATGAAATTTAGGTCTCCTACTCCTCCGCCATCTTGCTCCTCCCACCCTGTATAAGACAATTAACTTTCAATTATTTGATGGCTACCCCCCAGGATCTCAAACGTGACTGTCAAACGGTACAAATTGTTCATGGGGTATTTATTGCCCTTGCTAACATTTGCTTTGTTTTTTAAATCTGCAGTGTGCTTCCCCCACTGTGGAAGTTGGGTGCTGATGCACATCACTCACTGAGCCTGGTGTGGGCAGGTGCAGGTGCCAGTCCTTGGGCTGCTGAGCCAACGTGAGCCTTACACACTTGCCTGGGATCTGTCCTCTCGCTGGCAGGGCCAGCTCATGATTGGGCAGCCATAGCTTCAAACTCCACTCAGCAGGTGGACAGTGCAGGTCGCACACAGAAGTCTCCCTGGTCCCAGGGGCTGCAAGGATAGGTGGAGGGGTAAAGAGACAATCCCTCGTCAAAGCTACCTTCTCTATGCCACCCACAGGCCCCTATTTAATAGGCTCCTTGACCCCCAGGAGCTGGACAAGCCAGTTTGGAAACTCTGTTAATAGAAGCTTTTCGACTCCTGTTTCTCCTCCCCTCTTTGACTCACCTCTCACCCACGTACATTGTGCCTCGGGTGTCTCCCACCCTCCCCCAGCTCACTGCCTTCCCTACTTGCTTTTGTCTGCCTGGGTTCTCTGGGCAGCTCAGATCCCTCCTGGACAAACTCAGCTCTCTCTGCCCTCTTGTCCTGTCATTCACCCTCTGCTTCTCCTTTGCACTCTTCTCCTCACTGCTGAGACACCAGCATCCCACAGACCTGTCCTTTCTGCCTTTTCTTGCCTCCCCATGGTGTCCGTTCCCTCCTGGCACAGTCCCAACTCCACACTGGCCTCTGAATGAAGAAAGCTGGTACCTGTTTGTGCTTGTTTTTATGTTCAAGGTCAGCCAGCAGACCTTGGGGCTGTACGTGCTCACACACAGAAGCGCACACAGACACACTTCCCTTCAGCAGTCTTCGTCTTAGTCTCAACACCAGAGCCCCTATTTTATTCTTTTATAAAACAAGTATTTATTGGGAGTGCCAGACATATTCTGGATCCTGGGGATAGAGCAGAGAACAAAACAGATAAGAATCTCTACCCTCGTGGAGGATACAATGTAGTGGGGAGTGGAAGGTAGCAGGATGAGCAAAGAGAGCTCCAGATAGAAGGGATCATCGGTGCAAACAGCATATTCAGGGGACACCTTGGTGTAGAGCTGCCCTGAGCCAAGGTTTGCTGGGAACCCCAGCTGGAGCCGCATACGCATGGTCCCCTTCCTCCAGGCTGGACTGAGCTCCCTCTGCACTGGCTCTCACCCTCCTGAGGAGGTAGATGTGCTATGTGGTGGCAGGTGGCTGCCTCGCGCCAGGATCCTAGCTGAGGACAGGATGATCTGTCATGGGAGGACTCATCTGCTCAGGATTCCTCACATCCCCCACGACTGTGGAGATGAGAGTGGAAGAGCAGGGCATTTAAACTCTCTAACACGGTGCCCTCTTTGAGGAGGTCGGCCAGTCTTGAACCTCCGCATGTGAAAGCAGCCTTTGGAAAAGGGGTCTTTGTTCCAGCAGAGCCCAGGCAGGCGGGAAACTGTGGAGCACCTTTTCAGGACACAGGTGATGGCCCGCCAGCCCAGTCCTCGGACAGCCAGGGGCCCAGAGGGAGGAGGAAGATGTGCCCGAGGTGCGCGGGACGTGGTCTCCTCCTGGGCCTGGGGGCTGATGAGGCAGCGGGCAGGGCACAGGCTAGTGGTGGGCCTCATGTGGTGGCATCACTGCTCTACAGGGGCCTCCAGGCTCGGCACAGGCCCTGGGACTGGGGGCAGTGGACGTCGGTGCCCACGCCTTGTTGGCCAAGCCAGGGATGAGAGCCCAGTGCCTGTCGCCCCTCTGGGCAAAGAGAACAAAGGCAGCATGTGGTTCCTCCCTCCCTGACCAACGAAACATCATTGTTCGCTGAGGGCTGTGTTGCGCACACGCACACCCCAAGGCGCCATCACCCCCAGCTTGTCACTGTGCTCCTGGCCACTGTGCATTCACAGAATCAAAAAGATTGTTCTCACACTGTGAAGACACGGAAGGAGGCAGGCAAACAGGATTTATGCTTCAATTACATTTCTTTGAGAGCAGGCACAAAAGGCATGCGTCGCTGTTGTTCACAAGCCTCCCACGGCCCCAGCCATCTCCTCTCCTTTCCTCTTGGGTTCATCCTGCCCCTGCCTGAGCCCGCGCCACGCCTCCCCACATGAGGTGGCCCCTGAGTGGTTAAAGGGCAAGCCGGTGTCCGGGGCGCAAACGCAGTTGTCACGTGACTTTCCTGTTTGTGGTCATTCCTCTGTCACCATCAGAGAGCTCCTGCGAGTCATCAGATGTGAGAACAGACAGATGACACCCCGGGTTCTTTCTGTCACCTGGGCCTTGCATCAAAAACATGAATCAAGGGGGTCCTCTCCAGTGATGGCTTCCTTTATCCTCCCTGAAGCCCCGAGTCCTTCCTGTCTGTTGGTATTTATCTTTTCAGACAGAGAGAGAAATCAAGATGCAAGCCATACTTTCCATCCCTAAGGGAAGGGATGGGGGTCGACCTGTAAACAAAGGAAATTAACCAGGCAAGGCCTCCATTGAATAAAACAGAGGCACTTGCAGTGTGTAGGGCCGGTGGGGGGGGGGGGCAGGTGTATGTTGTTTTACCTTATTTTACTTTATGTTAGGGACAGGACATTTACCTTATTTTACTTTATGTTAGGGACAGGACATTTACCTTATTTTACTTTACGTTAGGGACAGGACATCTTTACAGGTTTCCATTCTGTTGTAGCCTGTTCCTCACCGGGCCTCTGAGACTCAGGGGGCCTCCTTTCTTCTTGCTTAAACCCTAGTGAGTCATTCCCATTTCTGTATTCACCTCCTGAGAAGACCTCTCCTAGGGTCAGGAGGTGCTCTGGGGGTCTTGAGCCTCCTGAGATATCCAGAGACCTGGGACCGTCCTCCAACCCCTAACGCCCATGGCCCTGGGAGGGGTGAACATGCCTACCAGGCTGTCCATCCTGGTAGGAGATCCTAGAGATGACGCTTCTTTAAAATTCATCTTTTGTTTTTCATTGAACTGAGGCCTCACCAACTTTCTTCCTGGATCTTGTGAGCAACGTGGTTGCCTGTTACCATTCTCTCTATCAATTTAAAACCCATTTCCCCAAGCCCCCAAACTAGCAAAGCACTTTGCAAGTATTATCTAGTCCTTGCAAGTGCCCTGTGGGGTTGGAGATTGAGGTATCATGAGGTATGTGACAAGAGAGGCATGCTCCAGGGTCATGGGCTAAGTTACAGGCCCAACTTCTAAACCCTAAGCCAGGATTTACACCACTGAGTTTGTTCTTGGTTTGTCTTCATATAGGCTTAAGAGAAAAGTAGAATTTAAATTATTAGTCATGGCACAAATGTTGCAAGGAAAGATGCAACTGAGAATTCCCTAACTAGACTGTCTTTTCTTTAAAAGGGCCTTTGGGGTATCCTCCAGCTCAAACTGATTCAATGAACCAGGCAGGTAAGCCAGGGCCTAGTTAGACGAAACGAGGAAAATCCAGCCCAAAACTTGCCTGGTTCATTTTTGGTTTTCCCTAGAGTTTTCTCTGGCTCAGAGCATCAGGCTTTAGATGGTGGGGCCCAAAGACCTGTGATCTAGTTCTGGCCCATCCTCCAGGACCTTGGATGAGTCATGTAGGCTCTCTGAGCTGTTGGGACGGGAGGATGCCTGCTTGCCCGGGTCAGCCAGCGCAGGGCGGTGGAATGACCTGGACTCCAGGAGCAAAAGGTAGAGGTCTGTCTCCCCTCCCCCCACATCCCACATGTACCTCTCAGGACCTGGTTCTCTAGGGGGGCGATCGCAGTGCTGGGTTCTCCCCCTTCCCTGCGCCACTGCAGTGGTTTATCACGAAAATAGGTCAGGCAGGGTGTGCACAAGCCCCAGAGGCATCAGCTACTCCTTTTAGGTGGGACTCATCCAAAGATGAGCCCACCTGTGATCTAGGTGATGCCAGATGGCATATGCCCACCTCTGCCAGCCATCATTTATCCTTGGCCCTCCTCTTCTTCCCATAGGTACCTGGCGCTCTATGCTTACAAGCCCCAGAAGAACGACGAGCTGGAGCTACGGAAAGGCGAGATGTACCGGGTCCTAGAGAAGTGTCAGGACGGCTGGTTCAAGGGAACGTCCCTGAGGACTGGGCTGTCTGGGGTGTTCCCAGGAAACTACGTGACGCCCGTCTCCAGGTGAGGCTGGTGTCGCTGCCCAGAAGAGGAGGAGCACACCCCCCCCCACCACGTTCCCCTGCTGCTGGAGATCATGTTGTGGTCTGAGCAAAGCCAAAAACACACAGTCCAGAAGTCACAAGGGCTCCCCTGCCCACAGGGTTTTGCCGCGTGAGCTCAGAGCTCCCCTTGGGCGAGGGTTCCACGTGGCAAGCTTTTCCCCTTCTGAATTAGGTTTTGCTTGTCATTCCCTCAGCAGACTCTGGCTGTGAGGGGACAAGATGGGAGGAGAATGAGCTGGAGTCAGGGCAACAGCACTAAGTGGGGGTGGAAGATCACGAAGTACATGTGTGTGCGCGCATGTACCCGTGCCTGTGCGTCCAATTGAGTACAGCTAGTGTGTGTGTGTGTGTGTGTGTGACACACATAAACCTGCTATGCATAAAACACACGTATGCATACATGCAAAGGAAAAACATACATTCTCAAAAGCTAACAATTGTTCCTGAGTGATGGCATTAGGAGTAATTAAAAATTTTCTTCCTTGTGCTTTCCTATCTTTTGCAAATTTCCTGTTGTATCATTTTTATAAAACAGAAAATACAATCTAAAAAATTTGCTCAAGAAGTTATCTGGAGTTATCTGAGAATTTCCTACTAAGATGAGGGGTCCGCTGTTGATTTTATTTGTCAGTCTCACGCATGGAAACCTGTCATGGGCACAGTTCTGGGTTACCTGCAGCACAAGCACATCAACTGAAGACATGGCCCCTGGGTTTCTGCTCTCCCTGGGACAAGACTGACAGGAAGACAATTAAATAATGCCTAGACCTTGCACTGATGGCTACACTGATTCATACTTTTCAAAGCACCCAGAGGAGTGGTGCTGGCCATGATATGGGCTTGCTTGTATATCATCAGGCCCTTCCTGGAAAGGCCCATAATTTGTGAGCCCACTTCATTCAAGTTTTACAGATTCTTTCTTAGGGTAAAAGTGAGTTCAATAGATAGCAGATGTGATTTTTTTAAAAAAATTCATGGGGCACCTGGGTGGCTCAGCTGGTTAAGCAACTGACTTTGGCTCAGGTCATGATCTCAGGGTCGTGAGTTTGAGCCCCATGTCGGGTTCCACACTCGGCACAGAGTCTGTTTGAGATTCTCTCTTCCTCTCCCTCTACCCCTTCCACCCGTTCTCTCTCTCTCAAATAAATAAATCTTTTAAAATATTCATGGTTTTGAATATTCTGGCCCACTGACAGAGTTCCTTGCTAGAGGTGAATTTCAGGGCAGCTCTAGGGGCTCTGCCTGTGGTCCCTGGACAGCTGAGTCTTTTTCCAGGAGGCCCCCTTCCCACGGTGGTTCTTCAGGAACCCTGACTTAGTGGGGCACAGCCCATCCCTGACTGAGGTCCTGGCCCAGCGGTACCGAGCCACACGGGGTGGGGGCCCCCCGACCTGGCAATGGACCTGGCAGTGACTGCTCTCACCCTCACGTGGCTTCTGGTGTCTCATGACCGAGACTCTGAGAGGACAGAAGGGGACTTGACCCAGCTCTTGGACAAATGGCAGATATTTGATCCCTGAAACTGAACCCACGGAAACTTCCGAGCCCCCAGATTCTGTTGTATCGTGCACACTCACCACCAGTGCATGAGTTTGGTGCAAGTACATGGGGGTCAAAGGGCTACAGCCCATTTTCAGAGTTGCTGTGTTCTTCTCGTATTTCTTAAACACTGGAAACTGGGGCACCTGGGTGGCTCAGATGGTTAAGCGTCTGCCTTCACCTCAGGTCATGATCCCAGAGTCCTGGGATCGAGTCCCACATCGGGCTCCCTGCTCCTTGGGAGCCTGCTTCTCCCTCTGCCTCTCTCTCTCTCTGTCTCTCATGAATAAATAAATAAAAATCTTTAAAAAAAAACCAAACACTGGAAACTGTTTTCATCTGGAAACTTGGGGTGAAAGGGCGTCTATTTCTGGTATGACACTGCAAGTTCCCTGACATCCCTCAGAAGGCCCGTTTCCCAGAGGCCCTTTCCCAGAAGCTGGCAGAAACGAGAAGGCGGCCGTGTCCTGAGGAATATGGGTCCTTGCCACAGCTTCTCACCACGTGCCAGATATGTCCAAGCCTTGTGGGATGTGGCTGAGTCATCCACTCTTTCTGGATGTGTGTGGGGACGGACACAGCTGCATATTAGACGGAATCAGGGCAGTAGCTCTGGTACAAAATATTTGATTGATATTGATTCTTAGGGTTCTTTTGTTGTTTCTTAACTATTTACATTGAAAGTTAGCCACCAGGAAGGTTTGGTAAAGGGTGCTGCACTGCCAAGCTTGAGCTCAGGGCATCGTTTGCCTACAGGATTATCTTGGCATTCTTTTAGTATTTGTGCCCTGGGCTGTGTGGCCTTCATCTCTCAGAGTTGGGAGGTAAGAGTGGGCCTTTATTAATGGCCTGTACTGTGTGGTTTCATCTGTGACCTCACCTGACTGATTCTGTTTTATTTCCTCAGGGCTCCTGTAGGAGGGGCTGGGCCACCCCGGAATAATGTCGTTGGAGGGTCTCCGCTGGCCAAAGGGATGGCCACAACTATCCACCCAGGTGGTGGAAGCCTGAGCAGCCCAGCCACTGCCACAAGGCCGGCCCTTCCCCTCACCACCCCCCAGGCCCAGCACCAGGCAGCCTCTCCCCCGATGGGCAGTTGCCTGCGGCACACAGCCCAGCCAGCCACCAGCCAAGCCCGGGGCACTGTCCCCACAGGTATGTGCCGCCCCTGAGGTCTCACTCAGTAGGACAATTTGACAAGGGGTTCTCGTGAGAAACATTAAAACCCAGGCTTCAAGCAGTCCAAGATGGAGCAAGTTGTATTTGCTTATTATGATCATAAGCTTCTGCTAATTTCCAAGAAATGTATTGACTTATATCACCCTGTCCTGGCAACTGAAATGGATTAGAGAATTTATAAATATTGATACACTTCACTGTAGCAAGAGGACTGCATGGACTCATAGGATTAACACCGGCACCGCGTCTGGGCCAGCCCCACAGGCCTTCCACGTGCTGGGCCCTTGGGGGCTTCCCAGCTAGGCAGCTTCTCCCCGGACAGAGCCAGAGTGCTCCTTCTCTGGAGCACTTTGAAGCTAGAAGCAGTGATGGTCATTGACCCTTCACCTTTATGCCAGCTTTATCACTAGCCAGGCTGACATAGTTTAAGGAAAAGCCAGTTGATCCCAGGACAGTGTGAGATGAAGAGAAATTATGGGGTGGATCTTACAGGCATAAAGAAGGTCAACATATCTAGCTTGGGAGCTTAGGCCTGAGCCATTAAGAACTGCCAAAGCGTGGCTCATAGTGCCCCTGGGAGCCCACACCAGTTGCCTTCCCAAACCGTGGCGCCAATGACAAAGTCACTGTGCAGTGTAGATACCCAGGACAGTGGCTTGTGACTCTCAGTTTCATTTAAATGACAGAATTCCAGCTCCAACCTCAGCTTTACTCTCTCAGAAATCATCTGTCTTCTCCTCAAAGTAAGACTTAAAAGACAAAAAGTGTCAATTCTCTGGAGCAATAAAATACACGATTTTTTAGAATCTAGCCAGCCAGGAGATGGTCCATTAGAAGTGCTCCAGAAGGTACCTTCTCAGGTGTGAAAAGTCAAGATAATACTTAGCACAGCAGGGGCCATATTTTCTCCCAAGGTGCGGCTGATGGGGACAAAAGGGTGGGAGGGGGCTGCCCACCTGTTCACTTGTTGGGGAAACTGGCCTGCACATTCCCAGGCTGCCGCCGGGCCGGGTTTGCATGCGGCAGTAAGGACTGCTGAGAGCATTCGCGTGTCCCTGAGCGTGACGGGAGCCACCCTGAGTGTTTTAAGGGGCCACTTCAGTCAGCGTGCCCACTGACAAAACAGGACCCCATTCCCTGCTCTCAGCTTCCACACGCTGGCGGGAGGCACGCTGCCGGGCAGGAAGGCTTTGGGTGCTGGTGGAGGAGGTCCAATGTGGGGCATTTGGTGATGGGGGAGACTGGGAAAGGCTCCTCAGAGGAGGTTGATCCCAGACTAAGCAGCAAAGTAACACTCAGGTAAGAGAACAAAGAAGGGCACCATTTGAAGCAGGAGGGAAGGACTAGTCAAACAAACAGAAGTAACAGAAAGCACATCTTATGCAGCCAGCTGCGAGCACTTCACTGAAGACAGAGTGACCACAGGTCTGGCTGAAGCCATGAGCTTGAGACCTATGTTTGGAGGCTGGGCCGCCATTGTTGCTTGCCTCAGTTTCTCCCTCTGTAAAATGGCACTTGCCTCTGGGGCATTGTGTGGGGACGGCCTAGTATAGCATATCTAGTGTGTACTCAGTACGTGTAGCTGGACACAATGAGTATCACTGGAGTACTCAGTGCACAAGAGTCCAAAAAGTCAAAATAAATTATCACCGAAGGATCTAGGGGGATGAATTCTCTCATGAAAGCAATGGGAAACCACCAAGGGATTTTACACAAGAGGGACAGCACTTTACCAAATTTATCACCAGGCACAGTAGGGAGGATGAGTTGCTGGGACAGCCTGAAACTGGAAGCCACTAGAGAGGTACTGCTCTCCCCAGGGGAGAGGTCACAAAGGGCCCCAACCCAATAAGTGGGGCTGCAGAATTGAGACAAATGACAAAATTTAGGAGGAAGAATGGTAATGACTTGGAAATGGGCTAATGCTTGGGGAGAGCAAGGAAACAAGTCCAGTTGCCAGGTTTCTGGACCAGTGACTGGAAGAAGGCCAATGGCATCCTCAGCCTAGAAGAAACAAGAAGGGGCGGGTTTATGGTGGAAGACAATGATATATGGCTTTGCAAAGTGCAATGGGTGCTAGTCATCCTATGGCCCACGCGCTGATTTGGATCCCCGTCCTTACCTGGGGCTCGCATCCCGTGTGTCAATCCCGCCTCACCGTGGTAGAAGGCTGACCCTGATGGTCCAGGTCACCTTATAGATAAGTGCAAACACTAGCCTAGATGCTGGGAACAGACATGCCTGCATGAGGGGCCGTGTGGATCCCTTTTGAGAGAAGGTAGTGGTGAAAACATCCAGCTTTTCAGGGGCAGCAGGGTGGTTATCTGGTGTCTGGTGCCAGTCATCAGTGGGTGCAGGGTGGACTTCTGGTCTCCAGTGCCCGGTCATCAGTATGTACAAGGTGCATATCTGGTGTCCACTCTCCAGCCTCATTCTGGATAGTGTCCATTTCCTGCAACAGTGGGATCTGCACCAAGGAGGCCCTATGGGTGGGCTTGGCACTCTCTTGGTTATAGAGTCTCCAAGACTGACTGTGCCATCCCAAAGACCCTGTAAGTGCCTAGTGGGCTTTCATAGATGTCTGTTTTGCTTACATTTGCCAAGAATGAGTTCTGTTTTTGCAGCTCTGGCCCACGGGGAAGAACTAGTTGTCTTTATACTGCAAGAGTTCTGCAACAATATTATCTGGTGCCAGCCATCTTGCCCCCAACAATTACCTCCCAATGAGCCATGCTTGTAACATGGCTTAAGTTCATCTGATGGTGTTTATTGGTAAGCCTCTAGCTAGACATACAGCCACTGTAGTGGCCAAGTGATTGAGTGAGCCCACAGCAGGGCTTCCTGACTGGTTTTCCATGACTGGGTCAGAAGTACCCAAAGTCCTGAACTCACTGACCCTTGGAACACCCATGCAGGACCTGGGGCAGCTAAAGTCCCAGGTTGGGTCCCTTCTGTCTATAAACATCTCATCCATTCACCCCAGTGTGCCACACACACGTTTCTATGTGCACCATGATATGGAGAGTTTGGGTAGCCCAGGTCCTCACTGAGAGTGAATATCCCAGCATAGTAGCCCTGGGTTATCTGCACAAAATGCCAAAATGATGGCCTTTCTAAGCCATGCCCTGCTAACAACTTTCCCAGTTCAAAGAAGAAAATGAGACCTGCCAGTCATTTCTCCCTCTATGGAATAACAAGCAAAAGTGAAAGAAATTGGCATGGCTAGGGGCAGTACAACATTGCATCTCAGTCATTGATCACCATAGTAACCACCATGGTGTGACAAGCATTCTCTTCCATCAGTCTGATTTTACACACGGGAAGAGCAAGGCACAGGATGTTTAAAACAGCTTTCCCAATGCATTCCAACCTCATGCTTATCCCTACACTCTTGCTGTCACAGTCAAGTTAAAGAATGGCTCTTACCACATCATACCAGTAAATTAAATGCCATTGAGTTCCATAGCATTTTCCACTTCATTCTGCATTTAGAGAGAAAAAACACACTGTTGACAGTACAAGTAATGGATTGTTCACTGCAGTAATTGCCCATTTCAGCAGACCCCAACCCAGGCAGTTGAGAGGCGTTTCATCAGTGTTCTCATCTTGAGCCAAAGTCAGGCAGTTTGACAAAGGCTTAATTGCATTGGCCATAGCATCCAATATGATTTGTTCTGCTTGATTAATGTAACTCCTTTTTCCAAGGGCAGAGCTCTCCCTGTAAAATGCCAGTGTTCACACATCCTCATATCAGTGTTTAGCGGGGGCAAGAGCCTTGTACAGCCATTTATTCATCAGAAAAGAAAAAAAAGAACACTGAAAGAGAGGTAGATACTCTGCTAGGCTCTGGAAATGCAGAGAAAAACCACATAAACCCCAGTTCTACACCCAGTTAAAGAGAGCAACAAGAAAACAAATTCTTGCAATAGAATTTGAAAAGCACTATAGTGGAGGGTAATAAGAAAGCATGGAGAAGAGACATGTAACAGATTGGGAAGGAAAATGAGAGTGGAAAATTTTCAAGAAGTGGTGATCCTGCCTTGATTCTTAAAATACAAATAGGAACTATCTGAGCAGACAAAGCACAAAGAGAGTTCTAGTAGAGGGACTAGCAAGGACAAATAGCAGTGAGAAATACCAGAGTTTCTATTTTGGGTAACTTTATTTATTTTGATGTGACTGAAACAAAAGGCATGGAAGGAGAAGACCAGGCTGTTCGTGACAATTTTTCTGCAGAGGCAAAATTTAATTTTAGGTCTTAAGGCTGGCATGCAGCAGGGGGTGAGGTGAGGGTGGAAGCATGGAGCAAGCGCCGAAGCTGGCAGAGGACTGGTGAACTTGAAAACTTAGATGAAGTCAGGGTGGAAGGACAAAGAAAGGAGAGGATGAATGGCACTGGCAAAGCTGAAAGGGAAGCAGGGAAAGATCATGGAGGTTCCTTTAGACCATTTTGTGCAATTTTGATTTATATCCTAAGGGACACATCAGAGGGTTTTAAATAATAGATATAATTGGATTTTTGTATCTAAAGAATAAAGCCAGGCTTCTGCTTATGACCAACCTAAAGTAATGAGGACAGGATTTATCATCCCCACCAGAAACAATTTACAAGAATAACAGTTTGCAAGATGCCAAACATTAGAAAACCAAGGAAAGTGATCCATGAGTTTAGGAAACGATGAGGTGAGCCCCAGCTTACTGCCTGGAGAGAAGTTCCAGACTGTGGCACAGGGAGGGGTAACAAAGTGGAGCGCAGTGGGCTTCCTGATGTGAGGATGTGGAGTGAGAGTCTGGATGACCAAAGTGGCTGGAGTTTGAAGGACAGAGCCTAGAGAGGAGAGGGCTGCACAGAAAGAAAACCCCAGAGGATGCAGGGTGTCCTCTTGAATAGTATACTGAGAAGTAATCAGCATATGCATGTGAGGAAACTGTGCAAAGCCAGGGAAACTATGAGGAAAAGGATCAGTGCTGTCAGT